TTGCTGACTTAGTCACTCATGCCTTCACATTTAGAGAAGGATGTTGCCATTTCAACTTGACTCACCCTTTTGTGGGCAGGGGTAAAACTTAGAAAAGGATGTTGCTCTTCCAAGTTGACCCACCCTTTGGTGAGCCACCCGAGGGTAAAATTTAGAGAAGGATGTTGCCATTTCAACTTGACTCACCCTTTTGTGGGCCATGCAGGGTTAAAATTTAGAGAAGGATGTTGCCATTTCAACTTGACTCACCCTTTTGTGGGTAGGCAGGGGTAAAATTTAGAGAAGGATGTTGCCATTTCAACTTGACTCACCCTTTGGTGAGCCACCCGAGGGTAACATTTAGACAAGGATGTTGCCATTTCAGCTTGACTCACCCTTTTGTGGGCCAGGCAGGGGTAAAATTTAGAGAAGGAAGTGGTCATTCCAAGTTGACTCACCCTTTGGTGAGCCACCCGAGGGTAAAATTTAGAGGAGGAAGTGGCCGTTCCATCTTGACGACCCTTTTAACTAAGCAAACATCCGGGAAAGGGCCTGTGTGCGCACTTGAGTCTCCCCCATGGACTGTGTGCGCAGATGAGTCAAATCTGTGTGCGCAGATGAGGCGCAAGTGCTAACAAAATGTGTGTGCGCAGATGAGCCAAATCTGTGTGCGCAGATGAGGCGCTGCCCATTGGGGTCGCCAGCTGGGCTAATTTCAACATGTCAAAGACAGCAGACTCAAAAGCAGTCTTGAAAAGAATGGCCGTGTAGTCGCCGTGTAGCAGTGAATACAACTGAAGAAGGACGACGATTGGGTTCTCTCCAAAGTTTGGAGCCCTGCAAATTAACTGAACGAAACACCGAAAGATGCAAGGAATTAGCCTGCACATTGCTGGACGGTTATAGCGAAAGAACATTTGAAAGATGCCTCCGCCATGGAAGGATCCACCTCGACGGCCCGAAAATCGGGAGAGGCTTTCCCGACTCTACTTCAGCTATGAAAACGTACATTAAAAAACACAAACAATGAAATACATGTGATGTAGACAGTGTTGGACTCCTGGAGAACATTGCAAAGCAACATTGACTAAATCACCTTGCCACATGCCAGGGCTGCAGGACGAGGCAAGGATAGAATGGACCTGAATGGACCTGAGAATGCATGTAGAATCTATCAGATCTATCAGAAGATTACAATACTTTGGCTTTGGCTGCTTTGTGGGCTCCCAAGTGTAAGTATTCGCGTTGCAAGTCGTACACACATCAGATGATCAGAACCAAAGTCTACCACAAGCATCTCAGAGCCATGTTTAATCCTTTTTAGGTGTTCACAAAGGGTTCAAGGTTTTGACCCAGAGGTACGTTGCCCACCACTTACGATATGATAGAAGAGCTATGCTTCCCTTTCACTCAGTGATGAAAGTGACCAACCAAGAAATACAGGCATTCCTTTTCCGGATGTTATTTTCTTTGTTTGCAGCCTTTTCTGCAAGTTTTCAAAATTACAGGAGACCGAGGAAGGGCAGACAGCAAAGATCGTGCGGGTCTCAACAGTCTCAACCGAGCAAGCAGAAGTCATCAAGCAGCTGTGCAAAGCCGTCAGCAAGGCGCTGGAGATCGACAGGACAGAGGCACAGGATGTGTCCATTTCTTGTCTAAGAAACTCACTAATTCTGAACCTGCAGTATACAGTGTCCAACTTCCTGTCTTTTTGCATGGCAACGGCTCTTTCTTTTTTCAACAAGATTAACATGTCACACCCCCCATGAGCTGTAGTTTGTGCAGATAATTGCATGCCCCGTGGCTCTTGTATGTGCGTGCGCGTGCGTGCAGGCAGTGCATCAGGTGGAAATATAAGAGGTTACGCAGTGCAGTGAACATCAATCAGAACAGATTCCTTTTGGAGTTTCTAGAGTCTTCTTAGCGTCAGCTCTGCATGCTAGCAGCCCTGGCGGGATAGCCAAGTGTACCTAGCAGGACCTAGCAAAAATAACAAATATATACCTGAGTGGATCATAATTCAGGTTCCGGAACAACACTCACTCTTCTGCAAGAAGCAAATGTATTGCCAAAGAAGTTAGCAACAAGAAATGTGGACTATATACTGTAAGTTAAACTCATTGTTTGTGGGCTATTGCATGGCTTCAATATAAATGGGCTGGAAATGGCTAGAAGGTTTATTGAAAGGCGTGAAGGAACAAGGCGGACAAAACTAATTGCGAAAGCCAGCCGGCAGGCTAGGCTGAAGTTCGATATTTGCGAACGAAGTGAATTATATATGGTTCTGGGGGAAGATAGGGCCAAAATGGTTCAACTTTGTGGAACTTCATGGGTCGGTTAAACGGTGTGATTAATGCACACAAATGCTGTGATTTGGGGTTGTGTGATGATGCTAGTGATGCAAGTTGGGTCTAACTTGGCGGCAGGTAGAAAATGGGAGTAAAAAGCAGAGGGACAGTGGAGCAGATGAATGGATGGACAGTTGGAGGGGTGGATGCCATTGGATGGACGGACAGAGGGATGGATAGTGAAGGGATGGAATGACGGATAGAAAGCCTGCACTTTGTGAGTGACGATTCTTTTTTTTGCATCTTGGCCTGCTGGGATAGTTTGAATGGTCGGAAGGTGAGCCTAGAGACAACAGAGACGTGGGCCAGCGAAATGTGCGGCCCTTGGTTCCAAGTGTAATTTATTGCACTTCGGAGTCCATCTCTTCTAGGTTGGAGGCCATTCCTAGTAGGTTCCTTCTGCTGTTAATTGTGTCAGATCGTTCTTGCAATTTCACAGATCATCACCAGGACCGGAGGGATCCTGTCCCTGACCGGGGACGGTCTGATCACCGAAGTGGTCACTCCCTGAGTGAGTACCTGGGTGCTGCTTCATGGCAATGGAAACAGAATGGGTCTTTCAGGCTTAACAAAGTAGAGAAGCAGTCAACGGGCGGACAATAAGAGTAATCGGAATGATATGTCGTATTTCATAATATCATAATCGCTTCTGAAGACAGGGAATTCTGAAAGGAATTAACGTTTGATGTTCGTTCACTGCGCCTAGCCTACTAGTAGCGTCCTTGCTCCTAGTAGCGATGGCCTTTGTTCCTAGTAGCTTCTTGTTCCTAGTAAGGCCAGGAGCTAACAGTAGCTTCTTGCTCCTAGCAGCGATGCCCTTCTGTAACTTCTGTGATAGAGGCAGAAGTGAGCGGTGAGCTTGCGTGTATTTGTTTTTGAGGTCCACCGGGTGATGGACGGCGACATGATCGCTCGCGTTCTCGGCATGCGCCAGAGGACACTTCACAGCCAGCACTGTTCCAGCCTGACTGTCTTGGCCAAATGGTTTGCTGATTTATTCGAAGCGAGAGAACAGACAAAGTGATTGAAAGTAAATCTGGCATTCAATTGTTGCTTTGTACATTTTGCCCTTCTTGAGCTTCAAGTCAGAGTGTGTGGTTTAGCTTTGCTTTACTGTATACGTTGTTCATTGTAGAACAGATGTCCAAGGGTGATGCTCGGACTGGCGACAATGCGGATCAAACCTCAAGACAATGCAGCAGTGTATACTGTATACCAACGCAGAGTTGCACCACATATCAGCTCAACTGCAGCATAAGCGTTCTGCATTTGTAGATTCGTAACGATTCGTAGATGTGTAGAGGAATGATACACATGACATACAACTTAACTACGATAGATAGACCAATAGATCACTGTTCTCAATGATTCTCAATGTGTGCAAACTTGGGTTTGTAGTTCCTACCCCTGGCAGGAGCGGGCTGTTCGAGTTGCTATCTCAAATCTTCCCCACGACATGGACGAGGGAGAGCTGAAGGACTGATCTTTGGCACAGCAGCTACAGACTCGGAGCAGTGATTGCCTTGCAGTGGACAGGACACTGCTTCTGCATATGGCAAGGCAGAAGCTCATTTGGACTAAACACGAGATCTTAATTTCAGCTAGCAACGGCCAAAAGCAGGTTTTGGGTTTGAGACTCCATGATGGGGGACCCAAGCAGCCAAAGAAAGGATGGGTCACGCCCTCGGCCCTCAGTACTGCCTAGAGTCAACGGAGCTGATTGTGCTCAGCCACTCAGGTTGAATACAGCAGTCGCCGCGAAGCAGAATATGCTGTCTCTGAACTGGACCACAGGTGGATTGTTTGGCAAGACGCTCCGGCCTTTCAAGCAGTGTTGAGACTAAGGAATCAGTTCATTTGGGCCTGTTCGGGAATCGAACGGAACGTATTCAGCACAGATTTCAGCAGTCACTACCGGTTGCGTTGACAACGACAATCTTTATTCTATGTATATATGTACATATTTGGACCAGTTATTTGGTATTCAACCTTCTTCGGCATTCCATTTGCCACCTCTTTTGATTGGTTGGTCAGTTTGATCTTATACCTTCTATTCCAAGCAAACATATTGCAGTTCGATTCAATGCGACGATGATGATATTGACAGCGTGGGCATTCTTGATTGGCACTTCACATGGTTCAGCTTTGTGAACTATGATGGAGATCTACACGGGTGGCACCACTACTGGAACACGCCTGAATATTTATTTGTACCAAAGACGCAGACTTCAGAGTGCTTGCAGAAGTAGGTCCAGTGATTGGAGTGGTTGGATTGAATCGGCAAGAACCTAATTGCGCCGCGATGGAATTCACAGAAGAGTTCAGAGTTCCAAATAGTTCTGATGGAAATTGCTTTGCCTTGGTTTGCAAGCGGCTGAGCCATGGGTGTTTGTCTTGCTGTGGTCGTTGTTGCTCTTGTTGTTCTGATGAGTGTCTTAAGTTGTTGATTTACAGTACATATCAAGCTTCTCTTGTGGGTGAAACCGAGTGTATGAGCATGTATTCGTCATATGAACCCTAGAGATCGTAGAGGTCCTAGTATTATCTAGTATTAGTATGTTCCATATTTTCCATATGTATGTATGTATGTATGCTTCATTCAAAGTTCAAAGAGAACCTGAAAGTCGGCTCATCGACCCCGGCAGGTCGATGGCAGAGTGGGACCTGCTGCTACGTGCTTCTATTGAACCGCAGGCAGTATCGAATCATTCACAAAACTTCACGAAATTCAGAGGATTACATATGATTATTACGTTTGCATTTTTTTGCAAGTTCAATCTATTTGACAGACTTATTGAGATCCTTCGGCGGGTAGCCACATAGCCCGAGTCTTCAGTGTTGGTTTCTACGCAGGCAGGTCAGTTGGAGATTCAGCTAAACCACCATATATATGTTGAATTTGATACACTTGTGGAGGATGCGATGCAAAGATGGAAATGACGTGAAAGGGCATGAAAGGTCTAAGGCAACATCTGCCATATGCTGTCGTCAACAGACGCCGTGCAACGCCGAAGTCAAGGTCAAGATTCAGGAAAGAAGACTTCGACTTCGACTTTCGAGGAATGGTCATTCTCATACCACTGTGAACCAGCGTGAACCGTGCTGTGGCACAATGATGGCCTTGGGTGTCCATGACAAGCACAAAGCCTGCAAAAGGCTTCCATCAGACAGTGAGTTTGACAGCCAGCTCGACTTATTGGGATTGGTGCACATTGATGGCAGCAGTGATACCACAGTGAAAACATGTGTGTTATTCTGTTGATTCTATTGTACGTAAGGGGTTTGCCTTGCTGGACCTGCTGCAGCCTCTGCAACTCACAAGCTTACATTTGTGTACACTTGTTAGCTTTGTATAGGGAGTACCCACAGCAGGGAACGCAGGCGGTGCCAATCAAGCATGCATTTGGCTTCTGTGGTGGGCAACACCTTTACATATATCGGCGGTATCAAGAGGTTTCCTGTATGTCAAATTGCGGAGGCTGGTCAAACCCAGGACTGCTCGCACCCGATCATTCAGAAGGAACTCAATGTCGATCAATAGCAAGGTTGTTGCTTTTTCTAGAGGTTCTTGGCAGGGCAGGTCATGTAAAGATGAGCGTTACTTCCCTAAAAGTCTAGGAACCATGAATAGGGTGGAGGCCATCGCTTCTAGGTTGGAGGCCATTGCGATTAGGAGGTTCCTTTTGCTATTAGGTTGGATGCCATCGCTCTTAGAAGCGTGAGCTTTCCTAGTACTGGTACTAGTAGTTAGTAGCTACTGGATCGCTTAGTAAGTACCATATACTACCATACTAGTCGTGGCTATGCGGCCTAACTCCCCCCGGGCTTTTGCAGATCTAAATCATATGGAGCCATTGCTGAAGGCGCCTCCGCGTAGTGGCCGATGAGACCAGGACTCCAAAGCTGTGGACATCAGATTCGCTGTAGCTGGCAACGATAGCGATGGCCTTGATTTCTCGGGTGTGATGGGCTGTGTCTTTCCGGAAGGACTACTGCGGATGATGATGCCTTCATTGTGGCTCCAGCGTCCAACGGTGATGCGGATTGTAATCAAAAGATGCTGTCTCCAGCAATGCTGATGGAAATGATGGGGACTTGAACCCTTTGGTTGAAGTAGACAGTAGAGTTATAAAAACTTTCATTGGAAAGAGCCTGTTTGCAACAAATAAAAAAAAAGTAAAACATATATCAAAAACAAGTCAATCCCAAAGCAAAAAACAGTCAAATCAGAAAGTTTCAGAAAGTCAAACAAAAAGTCAATTTGCACAGATCCGACTTTGTTCGACTTCTTTTTTCAATGTTTTTTCCTTGTTTTCGACTTTTTTTAACCGTTTTTTTTTTTAAGACCTTTTTTTCCATGTTTGTTTTACTTTTTCGAGTGGTTGACATTTTTTCACGTTCTTTTTATTTTTTCGAGTTGTTTTTTTAATTTGACTTTTTTTTTGGTAATTGTTTCGACTTTTTATACTTTTATTTTTTTACTTTTTCGAGCTGTGGTCTATGGTTGACTTTTTTTTGACTGTTCAATTTGACTTGTCTTTGATTTTGACTTTTCCAGTTGATGTTTTTTTTGTTGACTTGTTTGTGTTTTGTTTTAAAATCAAGGATTCTGGCCTTACCATATGATTTTTTTTTTTTAGTAATAACAGTATATAGAGTCTCAAACCGAAAGGTGAAGAACACATGACTTGGCACTTGATCTTAAAGACAAGATCCTGTCAAAACATGTCAAAATTATTTTCTTTGAGAGCCTGAATGTCCAAGTGTAATCAGTTTTTTTCAGGCGATGCAACCTCTCTATTCACATCCAAACACCCCCCTGATTGCACAAGAACCGAACGACCTGTGCAGGTAGCATGAGGGTGCCGAGGAATGTTGGAATCTCTTTTCTCCGCACGAAACAGAAGGATATTTCGGATTATACAGGACCAAAATAAAATGGAGTTGAGAGTGTGATGTTACAAGAGAGGAGGAGAAGCTGTAAGAGGGCTGGGCATTAGGATCAAGGGGCTGCGCACAAGCATCCTAGTTAAGTTTTCCGCAAAAATCTAGGAACCAAAATCATTAGTGCGTGAGCTATACGTCCGGTAGTAGCGTCTTAGTAACTTAGTGGCTAGGAGCGAACAAGTTGTTCCCTTTACTTACTGTAATTAAGTTGGCGCCTACTTAATTACAGTAAGTAGAGAAGCAGGGCCTCGGGTTGAATTCAAAGGAACGCTTCAAACTTTAAGAATTGAAACTTCCCAAGTTTCCCAGGTCTGCATCAGTGTTCTGCACATAGAGTGTTCTGTTACGTCACGTCTGCATCGTAGTCCAAAGTGTTTGTGTTGCAACCAGATTCTGTTGGACACGTTGTGTTTCAGTTTGTGATGCGACTATATAAATATATATATATATATGCTAGCCCCTCCCAAAAAAAAGAACCACCTGCTCTTAAATTATCTCGACTACCAAAGTAGCAAAGTTCCAAAGTTCCAAAACAGCACAAACCTATGTCCCCAGAGTGGCTATGGTCAGGTCATGGGGTCTGCAGTTTTGGAACTTTGGAACTTTGGGGGGCCTCCAAAGTTCCAAAGTTCCAAAACTGCACACTATGTCCC